AAGCTTGTGCTGTGTTCCCTGTTATGTTTCTGACAAGTGCTTTTGGAATCTACACGCTTACAATGGGGGATTCATCGCTCGTTTGTTAAAGGAAGGATCAGAAAAGACTATTGAGGTGTAGGACTTTGTCAGAGCTTGACATGAACTATCGGTACATAGATTAGTGGATGATGAATCAGTTTCTTCCTCCATTTAACAAGTGTAAGTAAGTGAGATTAAAATGGTTGTCTCTTTGTTTTCTCTAGCTTGCAAACTATGTATTGTAATTGTGTTACCGCTTGTACTGTATCTGGTTAACTCTTTATATTCTCATATTGTGTCTAATGCCATGTTAAGAATGCGACACGTGCCGATTTGTTTACGGATTTAAATGCATTTGTGAGCTCGTGTTCCACTGCCGTTTGTCATTGCTATGGCCACCATCAGCTGTACCTACATACATGCATCGGTCAAGGTTCAATATATTGTTGCGTTTGCCGATGTGTGGATTAATACTGAATGTGTGTCATGGCTTATAATAGAGCAATATGCTAGTGTTTAACTGCACTGCTTTAATGCACTCCTGCACTACCTCCCAACATCTGTCCCTGAAAATCCAGGAGACTGGAGGGGTTAGGTTCGCGGGTAAGGTGTCTGAATAACACTGTTGAGAACCGGGTTCTGTTTACTGTGGTGTTAGTAACTACTATAAAGCGTGTTTTGGGCGGCCGATGCGATCGGATCCTATACCAATGTTGGCGACGTGGGGGTTTCAAAGACCTTACCAAAATGCTGAGGACCAGAGGGGTTTAAAATTACGGGAGTTTTCAGAGATAAATAACAAAATGGGTAAGCGGCTGAAATACAGGAGACTCTCGGGAAAAACAGGAGTGTTGGCAGGTATGCTCACACATACACTATGCACTCTGACTACTTCAATATTGTTGATTTTCTCTGCATTTCTTTCTCTGAACGCTGTTGACCAATTGGTCATCGGTCCAATCAGTACATATTAGCTTTGCGCTAAGGAGGGGTTAGGGAACAAATGAATCACTGAACGAATCATATGGGAGTCGCTTAATTAGGTAAAAATAAATTAGTATTATAAGACAAAAAAATAGTTTTTTGACCTTACATTCATATCAGCCTGTTGTTGGAGACCCCCAAAACCAAAATATGACCTTTTTTCAATTTATAATAGGGGCTGTTTAACTAATGCAGTATAACTTTTATAACTTAACTTATTACAATAAAAACACAAACAATCACATTTATAACACTGTGAAGTTCAACGCTGAATACTAATCATGCAGAATCTGCCTTTGCCTTGATTTGCTCACCAAAGTCTCTGCATTGTCCTCTCTCCAAAGTATGCACATTTTAAACTAAATCTGATTAATTTACACTTTACATTAAAACATTTCATTTCAGATAGCTTTTTTGTAGCTTAACAATAAAACAAACAAGTAAAAGTTTACATTAAATTTAAAATGACAATCTCTAAACCATTCTCAGGTGGCACGCGGGCCCTAGTTTAGGCATCTCTGTCATAGACAAATCAGTGTGTTTACCTCGCGCACGACTATCTTCTGGGTCAGCTGTGCTTGGTCGGCTTGTAACCATAGAAACAGGCGACTCACTCTGAAGGAGTTTGGCAACTCTGGCAGCCAATGAACTTTCGCTGCTGCTGTCACTCAAGCTTTCAGCCTCGGCAGAGACATGAGACAAACTATTCTCCGAGGAGCCAATCGGAGCATCCTCAGACGTGTCCTCCTCATTCTGTGGAACACTCACTGCAATCGAAGGGAGATTGATCTGTGTGCCAGATGTGGTTGTAGTCGGTTTTCCCTTATCTGGGTCTGCAGCGCTGCAGCCCTCAGGTTCAGCCCGCCTTGGGGTCACACGGAGGTCACGTGCCTTCAAACTTTCCTCTCTGCTTAAAGAGAGAGCAGCAGGCTTTACAGTTGTCAGGTCAATATGCTGTGGACCCTGGGAAGATGACAAGCTTCCTTTCAAAGCAGAGTCTGATGAAGAGCGGGTCAGCAGTAGAGAAAGGTTCCCACCAGCTGACAGAGATGTGTCAGTGTGATAACCTCGAGCGTTTCGTCCTAGCGAAACAAGCGACGTGTCACTTTCCGATAAGCGGTGTGAACCAGGGGAGGATGTTAATGATGATCGACCGGATACCAGGCTTTCTGCTCGGCCCAGCAAACGCCTGATTTCATGCAGTGTGCCAGAACCCACAAGAGAGTCATCATCCGCTTTTACCACTTCTCTAGGCCCTGATTCTGGGACTGGCAAACTAAAGCTCCTTTCACTTTCTGCAGCATCAGATTGTTGTAGGGTTGTTGAAGGATGTGATGTTGACTGAAGCTGTGCAGCATCTGCCTGGGTTAATATCACCTTTACACTGCTGTCAGTGGCTGGCTGGCTTAGCTCATGCACTGACAGGTGGTGTGAGACAGAAGCGCTGGATTCAGTTGAGTGTTGACTAGAGCTGGAGAATGTCTCCTTCTGAAGACTGTCCACTATAGAGAAATACAGATATATGGCTTTATAACCGAATAGGACTAGCTACACTATAGAAGCAATAATACTGTGCACAAAATGTAGTCTTTGGCTTACCTTCAGATGGTTGTGTGCTTTTGGTTGGTGTTCCTATGGAGCCTTTGATGGTGCATAAGTCAGTAGGAGAGAATTCAGGCTCTCTGATTGGTCCACGACGAGTAAAGGGATTTAGGATTGTAGAAGGTGATTGGTCGATACCCAAATTTAGGAGGTAGAGCTACAGAGATAAAAAAAGAACAATACTATTACAAAACTTTTGAAGGGGTCTGCTTTCTTTAGATAATTGTGTAATACATATGAATGCCACACATCTTTTATTAGCAATCAAACATATTATTGGTGTTTTTAGGGATACTAATTGGATTGTGAAGTACAGCAACCTCTAACAGACTATTTATTTTTAGTGGTACCAAGCAAAAAAGGTTAATTTTGAGCCCTGCAATACAATAAAATAATATTGTATAAGATATAACTGCTGCCTCATATTTAAAGACAATTAAACCTTTCTGTCAGACAGCAACAACACACATAAACCACTGCCTACAATGGATCATCAAGACGTCACGATTTTAAGCCTTCGTCTTTCTTAAGTGCTGAACTTACCGGGATTCTGTCTTCAATGTTGAACTCCCTTGTGTGTGGAGGAGAAGTAGGTCTGGAGGTCCAATAAGGGGCGTAATTATCCACCTCAAGACTTACTACAGAAGACGCAGCTCCCACTGATGCCCGCATACTCTGCTCGCCATGGTAACTGCCTTGAGAGCTGGAGAGAGTGCTGCTCAGGTTGACGCTCGAGGACACATCACTAAAGCGACCAAGACTGAGGAAAGGAGACATCTTGATGGCGTTTGTGTCCATGTGAGCGGCTGAAGTATTCATCCCTTCATTACTTCCACCTGAAATTAAGGAAGACTGATTGGTGGCCGGAACATCTTTAGATTGCGTTAATGGGGCTTGCTTGCTGAGTGTGCCTGTGTCTCTCTGAATTGAGGTCACCACAGAGCTCAGGGAGGAGTGAGATTGTGAGCGAATTACAGGTGAATCGGATGCCTGTCCTTTACACACACTTGCCCCAGCTTCATCAACACGACGAGGTGAGACGCTTCCGGAATGAGACGAGGAAAGTTGCTGAATCGATTGCGAGCTGGCATTCATACAAAGTGCCTGATGCTTGTCCCGAGAATCCATTTGGTTAAATATATCAGATCCCACATCCTGCGCTTTCTTCTTTAGTGACACACCATCAACTCCTTGCAGGGCCAAATTATCACAAAACGATCTGCTCGAACTCTGATTGGCTTTCCAGGCATCTACTTTTTGTAAGTAGCTGAGACTGGGAAGAGACTGTACTCTCCCAAGAGCCAAATGAGAAACTTGATCTTTCTTCTCTGTACTGGAGTAAAAAAGCTGAGTGTCCGAGCGAGATGTGTCAGCGGCTGTTGGATTTAAAACGGCCGGAGAAATGTGTTCGTTTGAGACAGAATGGGCATGCGAGACTGTTTGCTCAGTCTTTGGTGGTTTGCTAGATGTTGTTTGAGAGTACATAGAAGAGGAATGTTGGTCGCTTAGATCCAATAATGGCATCAAGCCAGTTCTGGACTGGTTGCTTTGAGGTAACGTAGCTGCAGAGGCAACAGCCTTTTGTTTGGAGTGTATGAGAGATGGTTTAGTCAATGCAGGTAGGGGTCTCGTGGGAGGTACTGCTGGTGTTGACTGAAACACAGGCTGAGAGCTCAAGAATGAGCCATCTGCTCCGATTAAACGACCACCAGAGCTCAAAAGAGCTCTCTGCAGACCTGGAACATGTATCAGATCTTCACCAGCTATGGTGAAAGATTGTGCACTGTCAGAACTTTTGTTCCCACCATGGAGCCTACTTGCTGGTGCAGACAAGGAGCCACTTGCAGTCAGAAGTTGATCGTGGAGATGATCTGCTGTTTGGTGTGTATCCATCTGTGAATCACGAAACGTTATATTTGACACATCTGAGCGAGCTGTCGAAACTGTAGCCTTCTGAAATGAAGATGTCAACGACAGTGAGCCCCCTTGTGGCTGCTCTCGGTCTGCTTGAAGATTGGAGGGACTTGTCTGGATTTTCTGAGTGTTCTGATGATTTGATCCTGGTTCAGATGGAGAAGAAATGGCACTACTGTTGCTAACAGCCACACTAATGTCCTCTTCTCTAAGCTCTAATAAAGGCCGAGCATGCATCCCCTCACTAAGCCGCTGAGCAGCGGTCTGCTCCTCTCCTTCCATATGTCTGTTGATTTTGTACTCATTACTATACAATACACTACTTTGATTTCCAAGTCCTCTAGAATGGTCATTATGCGACAGGCTGTGCTGGGACAGTGAACAGGAACTATTTTCACCCTCTGACAAGGCTGTTGGGACCTCCAAAGGATGCTCAGAAATCGTAGCCTGGTCATGAATACTAGTTTGAAGTTGAGAATCAACAGTTACTGCTTCATCTGAAATACTTGAACATCTCTCAGGGATAACCGAGAAGTCTGGGATTCCCCTGTGTACATGAGCACAACAGAAAATATATATAGTTTGTTAACATACTGATAGGATATTATTTCTTAGAGATGCACCGAAATTAAAATTCTGGAAGCACTTGGACGTAAAAACAAACAGAAAATGCATTGTGATTATTGACTCTTCGCTAAGTCTCGCTCTCATTAGTTACTGTTGCTTCACCTGTCAAGCTTTCGAGCCTGGCACGTCTATTAAAATATGTATTTGCCAGTGTCAGTTATTTCCAGGGATATAATTAGTCACTTTTGGCGAACAGGTGAGATATCAGAGAAAGCCAGACAGAGAAGGACTGCAGTATGCATACCAGGGGTATATTCAGGACATAATAGGCAACCGATTAAAAAATAATTTAATCAAAATTTAAGCTAGGTTAGCCTCATATGCTGACTATTCAACAGCTCAGTTCATGCACAGCAGGTGAAATTTAAAAATAATCTAATAACAAATTAAACTGTGATTTCTCTTTTTTTTTGCCAAAAAGTCTGATAGACTAATTGTAGTGCAATGAAATATATCGTTACTAACCAAAGAGGAAGCATAAATGGACAGTCCTTCTACATAATGCCTTCAAAGAAAGGGGATTATATTAATATTAATCTGACACCAAATATAAAAGCAGACACTAACCCAACTATAACATCGTAACAATGACTAAATCTCCAAAAGACGGATGAAAACAATGGTGGATTGTAACTCTAACATGGACATGAGGGTTATAAATGACTGAAAAACAGCTGCGGGTGAAGTATATTGATCACAAGTGCTCAGATTGTAATCACATTTCGGTTTTGTTCTGTTAATATGTCATTTCAAATATTCGTAGCTTGAAACTGGTGGAAAATGACTGGATTGTGTTGCTTTTACAGCTATTGTAAGGGCTTAAACGGAGCAGTGCTCATAAAATTGAACGGAAAAAAAAAGATAAAGACAGCTGTGAAACATAACCTGCTTTGTATTTTTGTAGGAAACTGAGTTTAGATCTTTTAATGATAAGAGGAGTGTGAGTTATTGACGTCTGTCACTGAATGTGTCAGGAATATCAAAAAAAAACTTAACCCCGCTCTTTTAACGTCCCTCACAGAGCTTGATCCATGCTGGCATTTCTCCCCTTGGATTTTAGGTTTTGGAAAGGGAAATAAATTCCACCACCCCGTCCAAACTTTTAGGATACTGGGTATCTGATTTGCACAATCCATATGCACAACGCTTTGGCTTGTTTCCCTCGCTCAAAAGCTTGACAGTCCTCCTGCACGTAGCTACGGCTGCTAAGCCACGATTGATGTGTGGCGGTTTTCAGGTGTGGCTTAGCGAAGAGTCAATACTAATAAATGATAAAATTCTGTATGACTTTTTTTAATAAAGATTTTTTTAATTAGATTATTCTGATTTTAAAAATCACAAGCCAATAAAATAAGAATATTTTACAATTATTGATAGAGTCGAAAGGCATCATTTTACCAGCGTTGTCATGACAGCACAGTTGCGCTATTGCAAGCCGTAGAAACAAAATGCTCTGTCAGGCTATTATTTGAATTAATTTAGATTTTCCGGTGAGCATGTGCAGTTTGTGCATAAATTAGTGTATGAGTTCATGAACAGAATGTCCAGAGTGAAACAAAGAAAATCTTTAGCTGAAAATATTAAGCTATTTTGAAATTTGAGCAAGTGCGCACGCTCCGCTGCTTTTGCAAACTGGTCTTTGCATGATGCAATGAAATTAATGGGTTTCAGCATAACTTTTTTCAACTTACATTTTTCAGGCATTTTCTCTTTTTGTCAAAAAACGAAAATGCCTTTAGTTTTAAGCTGTCAAAGATTTGGTGCATCCCTTATTATTTTTAATTAAAGAAAAGAAGGAATAAATGCCAAAAGTGTGGCTAAACAAATAGTACCGAAGAGGGACAAACTCTAAATCTGTTTCCTGAAAAACACTGGAGTTAGAAAGAAAGTTAGATTTGTCCAAGCAGGGAAGCAGAGGTAGCGCAGGTGACAGCTGGCTATCCTGAAACTCTGAAAAAGAAAATGAATTGAAATCATTAAGAAAGTTAAATTAAAACAACATATTTGAAAGTAACACTAAGGCACAACGTCATATACAGTAGGACTCAAACATCTGAAAAACAAACATCTTGCTTCTTTTTTTAAATATACCTTTAGTAATATAAAAAAATAAACTTCAAGCTGCATAAAGCCTAATAATGCTCTTCAGTGTGATTTGGCAATTATCCAAAGAGTATCTTGATATATTTGTTTTTAAGTTTTTAATGTGATTTCAGATCTTTGAAGCCCACTGTACATACACCAGCTCTCTTTACCTAGTTGTAAAATTTCAAATCGGTTCATCATTGGCTGTATACTTGAATCCTGAAGGTTATTAAATGGTCTTCCATCGTTCGCAGGGCCTGCATATGGTCTATCAACTTCTGAATCATGTATATTTTGTCCATGCTTTTGACAAGGAGTTTCTGCAGGGGTCTGGAAAGGTAAAACCATATATATTACTCATACAGCAAAGCAATTATACAATTAACAATTAAAAACTGCAATCTTCCTTCATTCAAATCATACAGAATATAAAGACACTTAAATAAAACATTACCTCTTATTTTTGGGTGAACTATCCCCTTACATGAGTCATAACTAGGGCCATACAGAATCTGCAAACATTTTATGCTATTTCAGCAGAGAATTTTGTAAAAAAAAATCTGCGGACTCATGAGGAATGATTTTATAAGTATCATAACTAAAAACCTAATATATGAATTTAAAAAAATACAATCTTAACTTTTATTTAATGTTTACAATGCAAATCCAATTAGATCTACTTATTGTTAACAAAGCAAGTCTCTCATATAATGTATCTACTAAAAGGCAGAACATATTACTTTACAAACTATATTGTAAGTAAATCGAACTATATTGTTACTGTAGATTTTTACCCAATCATTGAGTCTATTTATTTACTTGTGTAAATGGTTGTAAATTTATATTTATTCAGTTTTTAAATTTATTTGAGTAATAATATTGACTAATATGAACATGTTCATATGATTTGTTTACAGTACAGTTTGTAAAGTAATATTTTGTGTATTTTAGTAGAGATATTATTTGCCAGATAAGAGTATCTAGATGGATTTGCATTGTAAACATTAAAGGAAAATTTAAAAGCTATTATTTTTTATTTCATATATTAAGTGTTTAGTTATGATACTTCCAAAATAATTCCGCACAGTCGCAGATTTTTTACAAAATTCTCTGCAGAAACAGCAAAACATGTCAGCAGATTCTGTCTGGCCCTACTTATGACACGCTCCCTATATTTTTTACCATAGTACTTTGAATATTTGACTGAAATGAGATGTAAATATGACTTCAAAATCAAATTTGCATTATTCAATTGACTGTGAACAATGTTGTACTTTAATAGTCGCTGGATGCTAATATAATTTTGCTATTTTCAATGAAGTTAAATGCCTTACTGGTAGTTAGGCAGACTAGTGATATATACTCAATTAAATTAAGTTAAAAGACATCTCGTCCAACATTGTTCACCGTTAATTAAATTGTAGGCTCCTAATGCTGTTCTTGCATGATGTCATAAAACCAATTTTACTCTAATTTCAAATATGAATGTCTTGATTTAAAACATGCCACTTTCTCATATGAAATGATCTTGCATTTAATATTATGTAAAGTGATGTAATATCTATATAAATGAATCATAAGATTTTATTGAACTTGCTATTTATAACTATTATTATAATAATAATTAATAATTAACTTTGTATTATGTAGTGCTAAAACATGTGTAATCATCACTTAGACTAATAGTTTGTACAGAATTCCCCAAGTAAATAATGAAATAAATAAAAGAAGCTGAAATTGAGGTAAAGTTGGTTTTATATGTGCGCATTCATTCAGTGACAACTTGTGACATGCTCCCTATATTGTTTACCGTTGTTCTTTGACTATTCAAACTGAAATTACAAGTACGACTTCAAAACAACATTAGCACCATTTAATTGATCATCAACATTAATGTTGCTCTTTGATAGTCATTCGCTGCTAATATGATTTCACTATTTAAAATGTGCAAAGAATATTTTTCTGAATCAATACTAATAAGAAGAAAGTCTGAATGTGCGAATATAAAACCAACTTTCCCCTAATACTTTAAACACCTTAATGTTAACTAACGTTACTGTTTAGCCTGAAGTGGCTAACAGTTAGCCGATGGCTTTAAAGCTGTTACATACTATTCTGATTTCATGATTGTGTTTGAAAGCCGACAACATATGGTCATGATCATAATTTTATTGTCAGCAAACCACTGGACAGCCATTAGCGCTAACTTTGAACACAGCTCACTTGTTGCCATGCAGTGATAGTTGCTACAAGGTTGTCTCGATTCGTGAGCCTAGACCAATCATGTCGAAATTACATGAAAAGCTCGTACATTTAGAATGTTTTAAAACTGATTTTGTATATCTAGTTTTATTATATGAAAGCGATTTCCATAAACTTACATTGTTTACATCTGCAGCATCCCCAACTGAATCCATGTTGTGACCGTAGGTTGTGACGGACGCAGACGTTATCGCGCATGCGCAGTTGCAGATGTTTGAATTAACCCTTACACTGGCGGAAAATAGAAAATAATAAAATAGAAAACATGCGACGTATGTAAACGGCCTCAGTAACAAAATATAATATTTGTATTATGTATTATTTACCTATCTTAACGCGTGACATTTTTCTCAGGAACCCACAGAGAAGATGAATGGGTAACATGAGCAGTGTCACTCACTTTCATAATGAATTTGCTATGGACGTTGCTATGGAACAAAAATAAACCGCTTAGTGGCGCGGGAAGAAAGGTAACTCATTTATTGTGTATGTTTTGCAACAAAATACGATACAATATGCAGTTAATTTAACAACTGTCTACCCCAAATGTGAAAGTGTGTTCTGCACACCAGGTGCCAAAAATGATCCTCTTACTTTTCACCAGTTAAATAATTGTTTAAGGGTTTAAACAGTAGTAACCAACAAAGAAATCAAAGTAGTGTAAAGCTTTTGTTATGGTATGACTGGTTATCATTATTGTGGTAAATCTTATTATTTTGCAACAAATCTCTTGTGTTTCGATTCTCTGTCTGACTTTCGAGTTCATTGCAGATATACCTCCTTTCTCTTTCCCATCACTTCTGTGAACTGTAAAGTTTCAAAATTATTTCATTATGCTGCTAGCTTGAATGGTTGCATCCTATCCTACGTAAAATCTGAACAAAATAAAAATAATATGTTATAAACGCACTCATTTTATGCAGATAGAAGACATTAAAATAAAAACCTTAAAGTATAATCGTTTTGGAAAACAAATAATAATCAGATTACGTTATAAATACGTTATAAATGTTTTTATATTTATCTTATTTAACATGTTTATCTTTAATATTACTTATTTCTTTAACCTATTTACATTTTCAAAAACCACATCACGTGGTTCGACGCGTTCATGTTGCACGCTGATGCGCATGCGTGCTGCTGTGAGTGAGCGCTGTGTGGTGTGTGCAAAGGTGGGGAAGAATCTCGAGAAAAGAGTGCGACTGAAAGGCATGTTAGACCATTAAGAAGATACGTAAATATTTAATAATACAGTATTATATCAAATATAAATATATTCGTGATAATGTCAATATCAAAAAAGCATACCATAGGACCAGGTGAGTGTTGTTAGGCTCTTTTCATGATGTCTACCAAAACTTCGTCAGCTTATGCGAACATGTAGCTCTCCTGACAATAGAAAACCGTGTTGCTCTTGAACTCTAACCACAGTAACGTTATCTTAGACAAGTATCTTGTACTAATCTTTTTACCCTATTGGTAATTTAAATTATAATAAATTATGCAGTGTAAGGTTAAATTTAACAATGTAAGAAAGAGACAATATGTTTTTGTTTGGGTGGTGTAGGATCAAACCTCAGATTTCACTGTACACGTGTGTTTATATGAGATCTGTTCAAACCTTAAAAATATGTTTTTTTTTTCTCTTATTCTTCCAGACTACTTCCTGCTGCAAAATGATGAGCGCCTCATGCGGACCCACGTGAGTCGTTACGTTTTTGTCTGACGTGTCTTCGTTAAACGGAATAATCGATAAATTGGAGTACGCATTGTCTGCGTTTGTTTGTTGTGCTTTTAGGAGGCTATGGTGGATATGATCAATGATAGACCGGCAAATCGCAACATCTTAGATGCCTTAAGTTTTGGTTATAAATACGGTAAGACTTGTTTTTAATCTAACACACACACACACACACACACGAATATCATATAAAAGCTATAATACATCTTTGGCCATGTGCTTTAATATAGCCACCATGTTTAACTAGTTTGACCAAATAGCTGTGAGCCATATTGGGGAAAAGTTAGTTTTATATTTGCACATTCGTTCATTTTTTTTTTTGCAATTGTTGACCACACTGCTTTAAATATTTGGTCTGAAATTGCATGCAAGTATGACTTCAAAACAACATTAGCACTATTTACTTGATAGAAGAATGTTATTAATTAATTATGTAATTTCCCTATTTAGAATTTTCAAACAATACTTTTCTTAAATGATATAAAGGAGAAAGTCAGAATGTGGAGATATAAAACCAACTTTACCCCAGTATGCCATAGGTTGTCAGCCTTGCATTTCAGATTTAAGTTAGACCTTTATGCAAATCAGGGGTCTATGGAGTCGATCTATGGTCATATATACTTGCAAAATAAGTTTTGCAAACAAAAAATAAAGTATTGAGCAAAAAATAAATAAATGCAAATCTCCCAAAATTGCAAAGCAAAAATGTCATTTTGAGAGAAAAAAAAAGAATTTTGCTAACAAAAATAAAGAACTGCAAAGGGGAAATGAAGTCTTGAGAGTTGAGAATGAAATTTGCAAACAAAAAAAGAACTGCAGATAAAAATTAGGCAGAACGAAAAACAAAAACAAATATTTGCATACATTTAACTGTGCAATTGACTGGATGGTTTTTTTTAAAGGCAAGATTTAAAAATGTTTTGTGTGTATATACACACATATATATATATATATATTCAATTTTTTTTTTACTTTCTCTTTGCAGTCCTTTATTTTTGTTACCAAAATTTATTTTTATTTTTCGAAATTCAAAAATTGACTGATTTGCATTTATTTTTGTTGTTTTGCTCAATACTTTATTTTTTGTTTGCAAAACTTAAATTTAATTTTGTAAGTATATGGCCCTACATTGACTCCGAGATCGTACCAAGTAGCCCGCAAAGATCACATGAGTTGCCCACAGGGCTGTTCTAAAAAATAGCTTACCATAGCACTACTTACCGGTAAGCTGCATCTAATATTTTTAAAATTTACTTATTAAACCACACTTGCATTGATGTAATCTTCAAAATGACAAAGTTGTATACAAAAAACTTTTTAAAATATTTCATATTAGAGCTAGATGGTCTCCACAGCAGTAGTTGTGGACGCAGTAAAGGCAAGGAGATGATTTGAAAACATGGCAGAAAAAAAGAAAAAACATAATTTTTACGATGAATAGGAGGACGAGTTCTATTTTTACTCATTCGGCGACAGCAATGCAGCTCGATGTTAAAAGAGATTTTAGACTGTGTCACGCAAGCTTGCGTTACCATGCTAACTACCCATTGGGCAGCGACTACAAGTGGAAAAACTCTGCGAATTAAAGAAAAGTCTAAAGCAGTCTTTTTTTCAACCAGTTAAAACCCCCAAAAAGCAGCCGAAGACTCATTTAGAGCTACACATTGTTTTATTAGAAAAACAAGCCATTTTCAGACAGCAAAACAAAACTGTACAGGCTTAAAGACTAAAACGAATATTATCTCCACTCTCTCCCATGTCCAACTTGGGTCTGCTATGTTAAAATGCTGTACATTTGGTGATTAATTTCAGTAAAATTTGAAAGTGGATTTATGTTTCACAATTGATTGACGAGCATGGTATGTTGTAGTGTATGATTTGTTGATGTTAGTGGCAAGTGAAAATATAGAAGTGATCATTTGAAGATGTGAATACTTGCAGAGGTTTATAGAAATAAAGTGTTGCATATTGATATTTATCTTTTTCCTACCATGTTAAATCATTGTTGACAACTATTGTGCGAAATCATTACCATGATCAGTGTCTTTGCATAGATGAGTATTATTAAAAATAACATATAATAAAAGTAAATTGAGCAAATTTGTTGTTTGAGAAGTGTGTATCAAACTAGAAGCCCTCCACATTGTTACAAAAAGGTTGGTGACCCCTGATGTAAATGATCTTGCACATTTTCTACTTCTCTAAAGTTTATTTAAGTGTTTTTTTCTGGGCTTGTCTTCACACTTTGCAAGTTTGGTTTAATTAAAACACATTTGGTATGATTTTTGAAAAGGTGTGAATGCGGCCATTCAAACCCTGTTGCAGCTCAAACAAAGCAAGCAAGACCCCCGAAAAAGATGGCTATCACTTCACTTCCAAACAAACCTTTATGAATCAGTAACAATTGAACAACAGCAACAAAAAAGGGTGTGTCTATATATACAACCTTAAAAAACAAATAGGCTCAAAAATGTTTTTTTTTTTTTTTTTTGGTAATAGAATGTTCCTCTTTTACACACACAAAAGAAAATCTGTGAAAACATCAGTTCTGAACTAATTTCTTGAGCAGTTTTAATTTGCACTAGTGACTCAACTTTTACCATGCTCATCCAATGAAAACTCCAAGAACCCCCATTTTCCCTTTTCCCTCTTCATTCTTGTTTATTAATAAATATATTTTAGTGTTATTACTTTTTAAGCTTTATTTTATTATTTGAGCAAAATCATTTAAGATTCATTTAAAAAGCCCCTGTCAAAAGAATTCTTGTGAAATTTCAATTTGTCTTGTAAGGTCTTAATTCTGTCTTTAGACTTTTATTCTAGTATTTCTTTCAATGAGCTTTATATATACAAAAAGGGAATGAAAAGACATGCTGTAAATGTATGAATCACTAATGGAAATGGTGAATGAATTAATAGTTAACGTGTTGAATGTACAGATTCTTTTATAAAAATGTGTCTTGTGTTATTCCATTAGAAATAAAACTTACTGTAAATTGACAAATATGCAAATACATGAACTGTGTTCATCCAGAAACGCTTCATAATCATAATAAACCATTATAAATGTGTCAGTAATCAGTGGTCTGACAGCACACACATACACAGACAGACAGACAGACAGTGTTTGGTTGCGTAGCAGTCAAAATGACATTCAAGAGATAATAGTATGATTAACAATCTTTTATGTAAATAGATTACTGATTACTTTTGCTAAAATCACACTCAAACTGAATTAAGGAGTGTGAATAACTGAATGTGGAGTTCTGTTTTAGCTGTCATGGAAGTGTAGTATAGACGTGTACAAACCTTTATTGTGCTTTTACTGCTATGTGGGACATTTGACCTCTTTGCCAGAAGAGAAACCAAAGGCAATGGTCAACAGTTGTAATGACAAACAAAAAAGCAAAGCTTTGAGCCAGAATTAATGTCCACCTTCATCTGTTTGCCAGTGGCAGATTATTAACTGCATTTGAAGCTTTTTAAAATTAAAAATGGAATACCCAAAACTACAAATGGGACCATAGCAAAGACAATCTCTTTTGTGATGTGAAATTCTGGAGTGAGGTGTTGGAAATCGTGTCAGTCTCTATCCGGTTCATGGCATAAATTGTAGCAAACTGAAGAACTCAAACCAGGAGTCTCATTACAAGCAGAATTCTTTGAGACATGTTGGTTGTTTTGCAGTCAAACAGCATTTCAAGAAGTCCACATGAGTCTATGAGAGCCTACATGAGTCTCTTACATTCTACCAAGAGTCTGAAATGAGTCTCATTTGGACAGTTTTCCTGTCTATTGTATGTTTTCGGAGAGGCAGACAGATGGTGGAGACAGAACATGTAAATGAAGTAGATAGATTAAAGAACCTGTCTAGACATTGACCAGACAAGTTTATCAACAGAAGGGTTTCTTTGGCTTCACAAAGGGACGGTCGTTAAGAGACTGATAGTCGTTGAATGCCCGTAGATTTGCATTACTTTGGGATCTGCCAGTGCTCAGGAAACAAAATGTTTAATGTCTCTCACACCTTGGCTGCTAGAGTTTTGAATGAATGACATAACTGAAACCAAAGACTTTACCTTTTCACTTATATTATTGTTTATTTAGAACTAGATTTTTTATTTTATTGTTTTTATTTCCACAGATGTTAAGACATGTGCCATTAATCAGTCTCCATGCGATTATGTAAAATGGCTACATGAAAGAAATATTCTTAAAGCAACCTATGTAAACTCCATAATCATAATGTTTTCTGGTAAATAATTAGATTACTGGTATAAACATGCTGAAATAAGCTGAAGTACATCTAAAGCATGCCTTCTGTATGTCACTTATTTGACCTTGATTACAATTTCCAGATGTAAAAGCTTTGTCCGCAACATTTGTTTGCTCTGTCCAGCCGAGAGGTTAATATCATGTATGAATCACTTGGCTGTTTGGAGGCACCAACCCCATGTTTTTCACAAAGTGCTAAAATAGTTTTTCTGCTTCAAATAAAATGAATGGATGCAAGGCAAGCATTATCTCAGAAACTCAGACAATGTAGTTTAGTGTTTCATGACAGTTTTTAAAAATGAAATTCTTAATGAAAATCTAACAAGGACTAAATGCTTTTTTGTTTTATGAACCAAACCAATGAACCAATGAATGTTTAATGAACCAATGCAAGTGTGAACGCACCCTTAATGCACTAGGTTTGTGAGAGGTTAAAACTGATTATTTGTTTTTTTTCTATTAAAGTTCCAGAACTGGACCACTTTGCAGCTCAGTTTCCTGGATATGAAGATTCATCTGATGAGGATTATTATTATTATGATGACGATAAATACAGTAGTCATACAAATAACAGATACTGTGGCTTTTCACGCAACTTCCTAGACAGAGGTCTACCAAAACCAATAACAGCTGAGGTTTGTCAAATTATCATGGTTCACTTATTTAGTTTCATGTGAGCTCTTTAATATCGTTTTCATTATTCTGCTTTTTATGTTAGGAAGCGGAAAGAAATGCAAAAGAGCTAGTGGATGAGGAAGAAAAAATTAAGAAAAAAGCAGAGAAGAAAAAAATGAAAAAAATGGTAAGAGGCAACACGCACTGGGTGTTTTCATCAGATAGTTGTTATCATGAATCATAATCATAAGTGCTACTTCACTTCAATATAACAGAGACAAAAAGAGAGACGTCGCCTGGAAAAATTAGAGAAAGAAAATGCAAATAAAGAAAAAAATAAACCGGTGAGTGATTGTTTGTTATGGCTGGGGTGATAAATCGATGCATTATGAAAAGTGAAACGATTCTTACATTTTCAGATTGAGCCGACTCTCTCTGGAAACAATTCTGAGCTTAAGTTTTTAAAAGCAGATTAAGTAGCCTACACACAGTTCAGTCTTGCATCCTCTTCTTGTAAGTTTATACTTCGCAAGTTTGAAATGGGAAACAAACTCCCGAGAACACGGCGGGTAAAGCCTGGTTTATACTTCTGCGTCAAGTGACCGGCGTAACCCACGGCGCATGCAACGCGCGTAGCTGTGCATTTATACTTCTGCCTGCTGTCACTGTTGGTCTGCATTAACACTTCCGAAACGCTAGTTGGCAGTGAGGTGTAAATGTTCCTCTGTGTCAAGTTTCTTCGCTGCTTTTTTGCTTTTCCTGAACACTTCCGGGATGTACAAGTGGCTCAAACTCGCTCATTTTGAGGCAGGAACCGGCAGACGTGCAACTACTTTAACTATGAGGTAAACACAAAACAAAACTTTCCATCAGGAGCTCCTTCACGGGACTCCACACTTGTAAATAATCACTCCAACAGGCTCGCACCATTCACGCAGCTCTCGGTCCAGCCCAGACTCGTCAGCGCTACCAAGCCGACCAATCACAGAGCTTACGCTACGCGTCATTGCGACGTGTAGTTACATTTTTTAAGAGGTGCACGTCAGCGACGGCCATGGCGAAGGGCTATGCGTCAGCGCCGTAGCATACGCCGGCGTTTTACGCAGAAGTATAAATCAGCCTTAAGTCTTCAAAGGGCACAGTGTATTGTATAACCTCATTCACATCATCCTGGCTATGTTGTTTTACTTTTTTAACAACAAAATGAAAACATGATATAAGGAACTGTCTGTTTTCATTTTGATATTAGCAACTTAACAGACACCAAATATGTTGAGGCGTCCTGTAGCTGCATATTTATATGATCGTCATCTTCACTGTATGCATAATTATAACACAATAGAGCCTATTGACCTTATTCTAAAATGCGGAAGTGCGGCTGTTTTCGCGATTGTCTTAGAACTTCCGATTCAGTCAGAATAATAAACGGCAGAAAATGGCCAAACTACTTGCTCAACAAACAAATGTTTGCATGACTACACAGACCAAGTAGCATAATATAATAAGAAAATATTAAATTGCAACATCAAGCAGCGTAACCAGCAGTTGTTAACTTCAAAAAATGAATGGAAGTGAATGTGACCGGAAGTCGCGAGACAAAAAGATTCAAATGGCAGCGCCCGCTCGACAGCTGAGAATAAGGTGAATAACATAACTGGCTCATTGCTCATTGAGCCTATAACAAAACATTCTCATTGAAAATACGAAACATACCCTCTCTTTTGCTGAATATCAGTTTTAATAATCAACAATGGCCATTATAAAAGTATAATAAGTTTAAACATTTATAGGAAATAAAGGCAAGCGATCAGTCACATGTGCATTTAGTGTATGTGGTTACATAAATTGTTAACTTGTCTTTGCGCTCAGCCAAAACACATTACCTGAGAACAAGTAATAGATTCAAAATACCAAAGTCGGGAAATATGTCACTAGATAGGACAAGATGAATTAAATATCACGTGTAACAAATATAGTGACATAAGAAACGGCAGTTGATGAGCAACTCGACGTGCACAGCTCTCATTGCTGCAGTGTATGCCCGGTCAAATGACACGATTTAGGCACGATTTCCTTGACGTAGGGTGTTGCGGGGATTCGTAAACGACAAATGGGCATCGTGACACAAGATTCAATCGTTTCTTCTCATGTAATCTGCCATAGTTCACGACAACCGATACCATGTCCACCATCGCAGCAAGTCTAGCATGTTTAATTTTTCCCCCATCTTCACGACGAGTTCCGTCACGTGGATGACACTGTGCAATAGGAGCTCATCATTTCTCGGTTATAGTGGGTGCTGCTGTTAATTCGCTTGTCAGGTAATCAAAAAATAGGCTGCATGCATATTTATAGCTTACTTATGGGATATTGATCTATCTAAACATGTATATTGATCTATGGATCAATCGATAGAGGTAAAATTGATTTTATATTCGCACATTCGTTCATTTAGAAGTCTCTATATTTTTTACCATGTTACTTTTAATGTTCGATCGGAATTAACATGCAAGTATGACTTCAAAACAACATTAACATCTATCTATCTAATTCACTGTGGACAATGTTGTACTTTGATAGTCATTGGCTGCTAATATGATTTCCCTATTTACAATTTGTTAAGAATACTTTTCTGAAATTATATTATTAGGAGAATCTCCAAATATCTGAATATAAAACCAACTTTCTCTGATCAATCATTGGTTCTACAAGCTTTAACTACCTTTTCTAAAATATTATGGTGTTTATATACATATTACATTTTATTTATTTATGCATTGTTCTGTCATTTATTTTTAGATATATTTAAAACTTTTTTTTACTTATGTTTAAGTGCAAAGAGAAATGAAATGTTTTTATTTATATTTTTGTGCTGTATTAATTGCTTACTAAGCCGCAATAAACAACACTTTAATATTACTAGATGATTGACTAGTAGTGTTTTGAAAATTAAACATGCATAATAATTGTGATAACCGGGATTATTCCTCAGACTATAATCGTGCTACAAAAATCTATAATCGTTGCATGTGTGAGGTGACGTGATGTGCGTTTTCAGTGGTATAGTGTGGACAGAGTTGTTCAGAAACGCTGGGTAAAACGCCAGTGTAGATGCGGACTGTTTTCATTGTAAAAGGCTGTTTTAAAACTAAAACGTGTTAGTCTAAATGGGGCCCAAGTTCAAGTAGTTTGTGTTATGCTGGGTTCACTCCAAATCGCATCCTACTAATTTACTCCCCCCTTTTTTTTCGCCTTGTACGAATTTTCCAACTTTATTTTTCCTGCAAATTCTTTTGAACTTGTGTAGAAGATGTGATTGAATTGAATTTCATACATTTGTTGCAAATGCAGTGTGCTCTCTGTGTCATCCATGCAATTCTGTTTGCGCATTTGTATTTGTATGTAATTTGCTCTAGCGAATACTTCAATCCAAAAGCAAATCGCCATGCATTCGGGAGATCTCAGAAATGTTGCAGAATGGTTTCCTAATTCTAAATGCATCGTTATGTTTTCCCAGCTTTATTGTTTGAATCTGCCATATATGCCAAACTTCCATTTTAAATTTGCCTTACTGAAATTATGCTGACTAATTTATTTGCCTATTTTTTTTCCACTTTGTTTTTAGGTACAAGTTGACCCTGGACCAGAAAAGACCAAACATGCAGATAAAGATAATGAAAATAAAGATAAAAAATGTAAAAATAAAGGTTGTTCATCTGTGCCTCCTGACCCTCAGCCCATTTCAGCCCCCGTGTCGAGCAGTGATAGCAGTAGTGATGAGGAAGACGATAAAAAGGAAGATTCTGCAATAGAACCAGAGGTAGGTTTGTTTTTAAATCTTCTGCGATTAACTTGACTAGTGCTGTGTAATGATTAATCATTACCATCCATCAGGGTTTCTGGCTGGTCTTAAATTAGCTGTTCTAGTTAATAAATGTTTTTGCAAAGGTCTTATATTTCTGATGTCCATGTAACGCTAAATCTAATGCTCATTTAAATATTTTTTTTGTTGTTGTTGCTTGATTTTCGTGGTGTTGTATTTCTTTATTTCACTAGTCCAAATGTAATTTACGGTATTACAACTATAAATGAGACCGAATGCAATAGCCAAGCAGCTTTCTGTTATTGAACTCTGTGCATGTGAGGAATTACATCATCACAGTGTTTGCGGATGTTTGCTTTGGGTGCGCGTGACATGATTTAGGCTGGCGGAGTGCACAAAATTGTTTGAGACCCGAGCAAACCGTTCGCGCGGCGCCGCATTTGATTTGAGTTGAATATGAAAGACTTTGAAGAGATAACCAGATGACCAATAATTCTTTGATAGAAATTGCAACAGCTGTGAGAAAGGAGGAAAGTTTTTGTAAAAGTTTAGAAAAACCTGAGGGATAAGTTTGTTAAAACCAAAAAGAGAGGCCCAGGTGGTTTTAATATTACAAAATATGTTTTTCTTCTAATTATATGTTTAACACTACTGTATATATTACAATTTTGAATTTAAAACAATTTAATAGTAACAAACCTAAATAAAGTAACAAATTATTTCCTTGATAAGTGTGAAGGAACATTTAGTAATACAATATAGGCTACTGATGCCCTTTTTTTACTAGGCTTTGTTGGTGATAATGGTTCAGGAATGTTGGACCATTATGGCCTTTTTAGCTTATAAATAGAGGACAGAACAATTCACACATTACTGTCTGGCTAGTTTAAGTAGGCAAAATAAACAATAAAAAAGTCAGTATTTTTTAGTAAATGTACTGTATTTTGGCTTTTATTTTTTCCATAAAAAATATATATATTTGTAGAGCATCCCATGTTCTGTTGTCATTAATATTTAACGTTAATAGGTAGAACTGTCCGAGATGTGAACAAAGCAAGTGATGCATCAAAGTTTAAATAAACAAAATCTTGAATGGCTATAAAAATCCTCAATCATTAAAATAATTAATAAAAATAATAAAAAATAATTGGTAGTTACGGAAAGATGTAGTTCTTGAAACTTTTTAATTCTGTTTATCCGTCTGACTTGTCGTTTTAAAGAGCCTTATCCATTTCGTGAGGTGTGCAATACGGCGCCAGGCGAAAGTATAAATCAGCCTTAAGATGTTTGTTAGTTTGTTTTCTGTAGATTAATGGTGCATCTAACCTTTTTTCAGTACTGTAAAATTATTGTGCCACTAATTGTGATTTAAAAAAAATAAAATAAAATAAAATTATTATTATTTTTTTTTTTTGTATGTGTGTTTTTGAAATTGTGATAGGTCATAAATTTAATACTTAATGGTAAAGTCTTAAATTTGACAATACGATATCTGCGAAAACCCTGAACATATACAAAATAAACATTTGCTTTTTGTTTTCACAAAATATATAAATGTGTGTGTGTGTGTGCGTGTGTCTGTAAATGCTCACAGCTGTGTATATACTTTAAGAATGTTTACATCTGTATTAATATTATATATCAATTTGTGGTAACACTGTACAACAAGGTTGGATTAGTCAGTGATATATTTACTAATATGTACAAACAATGAGCAACACATTTATTTCAGTATTTATTCATCTTCAGTGATGAGAATTGATGAAAATACAGTTACTAAACTCGCAGTGTTTTATTTTATGTTAACAAGTACATCTTTGGATTTTAATATTGCATTGATTTATTGTTTAACTATGATTTGATATATTCTGTATTGTTCATGTTAGTAAGTCCATAAATCGGCATTAACTAATAAAACCGTATTGTCAAGTGTGACCAATATTGGGATGTGCATTTATATATACATAACAAATATACACAGTGCAAACAAAGGTATGTAAACATTAACTTTTATTTTAGAATCGATGAGCTGTAATTGTTTCAGTGGCATTAGATATGACTCCTGTGACATTTTCCAAACTTGACCGAGCCATTCATTCCTTGCAAATGGTTGTAGTGACTTTTATTTTGTGTGTTTCAGGAGCTCGACATGAATAGCTGCTTTGTGTCAAACGCAGCTGCTATTGCCAAACGCAAACTGGAACAGAAACCTAAACCTGACAAGAAGCCTGCTCAAGCAAACCCAAAAAAACAACACGAATCCCAGCAGAAAGCCACTGTGATGCCTCAAAAGCAGGTGGGCGGAGTTAAAAAGATAAATGTGTAAACTCTGAGGGTTTTTATAAGACATTTAAGAGGAGGTGCCTGGAAGAATTAAAACGGTCTCGTTCTCATGACTTTTCTTGTATAAGAGATTGGGTGTCTCTGAAACTGTAATCAGCTTAGTGAGTCAGTGTTGTGCAGTCATTTTAATCTTAATTTTAATCTACTTTAATCCTTTATATACAGAAATGGATAAAATTGTTGGTAGTCTTTGTTACTTTGCTGTTTTTAATGCTTCTGTTCAACCATCATTTGGAAGTAATATCTAATTTTCATTAGTTTACTTTTAGCAGGTCTTGATTAATTACTACTTTTTCAGTTTCAAGTTATTTCAGTTAACTCTGCAGCGTTTCTTCAATAGATGGCTACCAACAATATTGCCTATGTCTATAGGTATTTGGAGTTTTATTTAATAGATGCGGGGAATTGTTTACATAGAATTGTAAGGGAGGAGAGGAGAGTTTTTATGAAAATGATTTTAAATAACATGACTGATTTCTGATGGGTCATATGACATTAAAGACTGAAAATACTTTTATGTATTGAAATAAGTTTCTTAAACGCAAGTAATTCTAATTAGTAAACCATGTTTTACAATATTATTTGTACTAAATTTAATTAAAAATGCAGTCTTGTTGAGTGCAGGAGAGTAGTCTCAATCTGTTTTACTGTACGTTTGTCATTCATGCCATATTTTTTGAAGCAGCTATTTTTTGATGTTCTGTATTTCCAAATGTCTTTCATTTTTGTAGGTTGCTAAAGAAGAGGTGAATGGAGAGGAGTCTGTCAATGCAAATGATTTTATTACAAGAAGTGTGGAGCTGGCAGGTGTGTGAGTGGAGTTTGATTTTTGATTTTTTTTTATTGTCGAACAGAAATATATACAAAAAATTATTTAACAAAAAATACATTACAGCATTGTGAAAATGGAGCGGGATGAAGCACAAGCTTATTATTTTCCCACCCCATTACTACACACACCATTCGTCTATTACTTAAGCTTATTTCTTCTTTTACTTATCTCTTCTTTTTACATGAGACATATGATAATCAGATGAGACATATTTTATCATTTTGGCATCTTTGACATATTATCTCTATGATTCCATTTATACATTTTATAACATAGACCCCATAAATACATTTTATTACAAATGACCATTAATTAATTTCATCATACCTTTCTCAGTTTATCTTTTTTCAATCACCTTCATCATTATATTCCTTTAATAATATATATTTATACAATTTTTTTAATTGATTAATATCCTGACATTGTTTAAAAATCGGTTCCATAATTTCACACCTCATACAAGACATACACAAATTTTTAAAAGTTGTTCTTGTTTTCAACCTAATAATTTTGATCTTGTCTCATTTTATATCCCCCTTGTCTCTTTTCAAAAAACTTTTGTATGCGCTTCAGAAGTACTTAATTCCTCGCTTTAAGCGGAAATTGTGCTGTTTTAAATTGAAACAAATCATTGAACATAAGTATCTTCAATTTAAAAAATAAAGGATTCGTATTCTCCAAATACCCCACATTTTCTATCAGTCTAATTACTTTTTTCTGCATTGCACATAAGGATTGCAAGTTAGATATATATGTTATCCTCCAAATTTCAACACAATAACTTGTATATGGTGACATAAGTGTGTTATATAATACATACATTGATTTCAATCTTGCTTTATACACTTCTTACAGTTTTTACGAATTTTAATATCACATTCATTATTTGCGGTTTCCAACCATTTTTATGATCCGATACAAACGCCTAGAAACTTAATTGCATATACTCTTTCTAAAATGTCATTATCAATTATTTACATATATTATGACTATTTTTTAATTTCCTAAATAACATAACCTTTGTTTTACTTATATTTAATGACAATTTGTTTACGTCAAACCATAATTTCAATTTATTAATTTCTGCTAATTTCAATTAATTTCAACTCCTCAAGTTTTGGAAAATTATCCCCAGAACAAAAAGATACTGGTATCATCTGCAAATAAAATAAACTTAAACAACTCTAATATCTTACACGTATCAATAATGTAAATGCCACAATTTACATTTAGGTTTGAAGATTTATGGTTGGCAATTTCCACAAACTGTTGCTTGTTTGTTTTTTTAAAGAACTGCTTATCCAGTCCAAGGCTACTCCTCTAATACCATACCCCATACCTTTCTAATTTATTTACCAATATATTGTGATTTATTGTATCAAATGCCTTTTTTACATTTATAAAATTCCAACTACCTTCTCCTTTTTATCTATCTTATTAGTAATTTCCTCAAATTTTTGTTAATGCCAGAGATGTTGATCCAATTTTCCTGAAACCATATTGCTCATCGGCTAAAAGGTTATGCATTTCTACAAAATTATTAAGCCTTTCAACAGAGTTTTCCCAAACTTTTTGAAAACTGAGATAGTATAGAAACTGGCCTATAATTTGTAAAGTATTGTTCATCTCCAGATTTATAAAGTGGAATTATCTTTGTAATTTTAAATAGTAAAGTTTAAATAATAAAGATTAGTACGAAATGTCCCCCTAATTCTCTCCTTTTTTTACAGTTATAGGTAATGAGTACGCCGGCTCAGGAAACATGGAGATGGCTGTGAAATATTTTACCGATGCTATAAAGCACAACCCTAAAGAGTATAAGTAAGAGTCCATACCAACAGTTTTAACTGCAGCTTGGCTCAAAATGACAACTACATTGTTTTAAGAGGTCATTTAATGATTGCACTTCTTTCTTTGCTGCAGGTTATTTGGAAATCGTTCTTACTGCTATGAAAAGATGCTTCAGTATGAGAAATCTTTAACCGATGCTGAAATTGCTCTTTCTATGAACCCTAAATGGATTAAAGGGCTTTACAGAAAAGGCAGAGCATTGGTTGGACTAAAGGTATTTATATAGTCTTCTAGCTGCAACATCCATCACTTTAGCCCAGGTTTTTACTTGGTATCAACTTGCCTCTTCTGTGAATCGATCACAAGTGGTCAGCGGAGCTTCATTAGTATTTCCATCTCTTTAGAGAAGGGCTGCAATATGGCCAATAATTTATTGCTTTAAAATGTTTTGTATATTTCTGCTGTGTGTGTGTGTACACAATGAGAAGGAAAATTGGTGGTGAGTGCATACAAGTTCAGAACGCACTGATTGTGGTATACTTTGTGAAAGGGCTCATGTTGAATATTTGTCATATTGTGACTAGGGCTGTGCAATTAATCGAAAATCCGATTTCCATTTTAGCTTCTAACGAATATGAAAAAACATTAATCGAGACAAACGATTATTAACTAAGCAGCGCAAAAGACCGCATGCTTATGTGTTTGTGCGACGCGCACACACAGAAGCATGCGGTAAGCATTCGGTCTCATTCGCACACTGAGACGAGCAGAGCGCAGACATCTAAAGTCATCTTAACGTGAGCGCTTTAATGATCAAATAGGTGTCAACGCCCTGTTTAGTGATTATTCACATTAACCCTCATTTGTGTAATAAACATACGAGTTGAGAATCAAAAGACGTGAAAGAGAAACTATTAAAGTGAAAGCACGCAATGTTCCTGCTGCCGTCTGTTTTTATGATTATTAATCAAACAACAAGAAAATCCCTCTGCTCTTGACTGAAGGACTTTTGTAGCTAAAGTGTTTTTCTTAAAGTGGAGATGCTTAAAGCACAGTTTGTTTCATATTTTTATTCTATCGTATTTATTTCCCTTTTCTTTGCAGGGTGGAAAATAACTGTATATATGCAGTTGAAGTCAGAATTGTTAGCCCTCCTGAATATTAGCAACACTTTTCCTCCCTAATTTCTGTTTCATGGAAAGAAGATTTTTTTTCAACTTATTTCTGAACATAGTAGATTAAATAACTAATTTCTAATAACAGATTTCTTTTATTCTTGCTTTAATGACAACACATAATATTAGACTATTTTCAAAATACAATGCATTCAGATTCAAAGTGCGATTCAAAGATTTAATTAGGGTAATTAGGCAAGTCATTGTATAACAGTAGTTTCTTCTGAAGACTATCAAAAATATTTATGCTTAAGGGGGCTAATAATATTGTAAAATATTTAAACCTGTTTTTATACTAGCCAAAAAAACAAAACAACAAAAAAAATTAAACAAAAGCCTTTCTCCAGAAGAAAAAGGTATTATAGGAAATACTGTTAAAATTCCTTGCTCTGTTAAACATCATTTGGGAAATATTTATATAAAAAAAAAATTCTCAGGAGCGCTAATCATTTTGACTTAAACTGATAATCGTTTTGAATAATCGTGATTACAATTATGACCAAAATAATTGTGATTATGATTTTTCCCAAAATCGAGCAGCCTTAATTGTGACTGACAAAATGATTTCATTTCAATCATGATTATATTGTTTTATCACCCAGTTCAGATTTATTCACCAGTGCAGATTGATCCACAAAATCCCCTGTGCTCTTTTGTTCTCACAGTAGTGTTGTTTCTCCTTCTCTCAGAGATATAATGAAGCCAGACTTACATTTGGTGAAGTTTTAAAACTGGACAGCTCTTGTAAAGATGCGGCTGAGGAGATTATGAGAGTGCAGCTCATGCAACTTATGGTGAGAGGACATGAGTAGGCATTATTACATCAGCGGTGATGCTGTGTGACTGTTTCTAGTTTGCTGCATTTTGGTTGTTATAAATGTGTCCATTTCAAAATGCCCTTGTTTTACAAACAGGAAATGGGATTCACCAAAGAACAGAGTTCAAATGCGCTTATAATCCATGGAACTGTAGAAAGAGCCCTAGAAAGTCTGTCTGGACTATCAGGTATGATAATACATGACACAATATGCATATCAGGGTCAGAAAGTAACTTCTGCAAAAAAGTGACTTTCTATTATATCATAAGGCAGTATGTTTGAGTTTATTTGGTAATCACTATTTTATTTGGTGGAGAAAAGAACAGACCTGCTTTCTAGGTTGTCCATGAAATCCTGTAGATTGATAGATTTATGCAAGGGACATTTTTTGCTGTAATTGGTATAAATGCCACATGATCCATTAGTTGTAACAGGCTCTTAAGATTTTGAGCTAAAATACACAAAGTTTAGGAAAAGTCATGATAAATTAAAAGCATAGATCAAATATAGTAAAGATAAAATTCAGTTATAGTTTTCAGGTGCACTATTCAGGTACAGATATTGAATAATCAACACTGCATAGTCTTCATTGTATATTATTTAATCTTTTTTAAAGTTACGAAACATTTCTTGTGGCCAGATGTTTTAAAATTTGAAATATTGAAATGTTCACACAGTCACAGGCCTTAAAGGGTCAGTTTACTCAAAGATTAAAATGTACTCACTATTTACTCGCACTTCACTTGTATCAATACTATATGAGTGTTAAATTATATTATTTTTGTGTTCATTTAAAAAAAGAGAACTCAATACATTTTTGGAATAAGTGAAGGGTGTAATGAAAATGCTAAGTAATTTTTGGGTGAACTATCTCTTTAAAAATGCATGCAGATGATAAACTTTTACTTCATTATGATTAAACTCTATATTAAACTATAATCCTAGCATTGCATATCCTGCAATGTGACTGTTGCGGATGCACACATTGTGATGTCGATGCTGAAACGATATATTGTGCAGCTCTAACTTATAGGTTTATTGACTTATATAGGTTTACTATAGCTTTGTTGTCTTTATTTCTTTTCTGTCCTTGGCCAAAAACTTGCTCTTACATTGTTAGTGGTGTGTAAGCATTATCAAAATTAATATAAAACAAATTTAAACCAATAGATTGTTACATGTTCTATGATATGCTGTAATAAATTTTGAACGTTGTTGTTTTTCTTATTTATCATGTATATGTAGACATTACGTGTGTGTGACTAGTTATTACTCTAGTTATAAATATGTAAAAAGAGATTTTTAATGCAGTGTGCGCAGTGCTAAATATATTACTGTTATCAACCCTAAATAATTTACTTTAATCAACTGTCATGGGCATTTCACTTTTTATATTTTACCCCTTACCTTTTTTAGAGGGGCACTAATGTTTTTATTAGATGATATTTTCGGCCAAAACCCTTTTAATTTCTGACCCGAATACATTTCCTTCACTCCTTGTATAAAAAAATGCACAAAAGCACACACACATCACTCTAAATGTGTGCTCAGCCAAGCAGCAAAAAGTGCAAAAATAATTCCAACAAGGCTTGAAAAATACCAATTTTTGAAATTAAATAGGAATTAATATCTAATATGTTGGTGAGAGCCGACTCCAGGCTACATTACCTAGGGATTAGCATTGTTGACTCCAGTCTACATTACCTGATTCATTACCTGAGTCCAGCACTGTTTAGGTGGGAGTGTCGGGGGAGGGAAAGAGGGGAGAGTTTGCATAAAGATGGGAGTTTTCGATTTAAGCACGCACTGATTTTCAAAGAGGCAAAACAAACACAGACACACGGTAAATAGACAGTGACTGTGTTTACATGGACACCAGTAATCAAATTATTTGCCAAATTCTTAATTTGTTAACCTAAACTGCAGTTTGACACTTTTCATTCAGGAACATTACATGCATGCCCCCCATGACAAACGAGTTATTGGATACGATGAACTGCTCGAAGAGTGTAGTTTTAATGCAATGTTTGATACCGCACCACAAATGAGAGAGAGAAAAAAAACCTCTGCATTTCTCTGTAACTTATGCCTAGTTCACACTAAAGGATTTTAAGCCTGATTTGAGCCCGATTTGGAAGTTAACGAGCTCGCCGACAGATCGGGCTGTGATCGGGAAGAAATCTGCGGGTGCTCTGCGCTCGCCGCTCTTTATGTGTGAACTACTGAACAACGCATCAACGAGGCTCGCTGACGCATCGCCGACACCTCGCAGACGGAAATCCAACATTTAGCATGCTAAATATTCCAGAGCAGGCGGCCGACTCAACCCCACGAGTGGTCAGATGTAGTGACGAGCTGCAGCCAATGAGAGAGCATATCAGCATGAGCTGAATGCCTGTGTGCTCATTAGCTCAGCAGAAACCTCTGTGATTGGTCAGAATGGGCATCGGTGCACTCGCTTCATTCTGCGTTAGCACAGACATGAGAGTAGGCTATATTAACAGTGGAACTAGAATTCTGTAACTATTAGAATTACCATACTGCTCATTCTGACCGTTCTCATATAAAACGCCATATTGTCACAACATATTTTCATTCAAAGCTATTATTGAGATATTAAAATTAAGCTTTGAATGTCTGGCATCATATTTAATGACCCATTACCCTAAAAAATTTTTTTTTTTTTTTTTTTTTTTTTTTTTTTTTTTTTTTTTTTTGGTAATGCAGCCTATAAATATGTAGTTAAGATACTAAAACACTTAAAGGTCTTGGCTTTCATTTTCAATTTCAAACAGGAGCTATTTCACAGCACAGAATATGCTGTTTTGAAAGATATCTGAAGTAAATTGATGTTTTTCCATCAGAAAGTTTTGTTTATGTTAGCAGGAAGTTGCTTGGCAAGAAAATGCACACATATTTAAAGTCACAGTGAAAAGTATCAGACATGCATGCAGTCATTTTAACCAATATGGTAATTAAAGGCAGAAATGCTCAGTTCTTTACTGTTTTGTAATAAAAAAAAATAACAATGTCAGAAAGAAATACACTGATAGTTAGAAAACGGCAGGGTGTTATAAATATGTTAGTGTTATTTCAAAGAGTTATAAAATTACAAAAATTAAAAACTCTCTGTGTATCTATCCACTGGAACCTTGCAGATGAGTGATTAATCCGCTGATGCATCAGCTGATTTGACGATGTTTTTAAATGCTTTCTCCAAAGCTTGAAAATCTGTCAGTGATGTCATCAGCACACAAGCAGCCAATAGTGTTCAGCTTTTTCTGACGACTCCTCCCTCAAATTTTCATTGGCTGTGGTTTGGTAGCTTGAATGAGCTGATGGGGAATGAGTTGTTGTTAGATCATGTAGTGTGTGACCCCCCTCTTGTGGATCATTCACAGAGTGTTGCGTAGTGTGAACACCACAGAGATTAAAAGACACAAAGTCATGTAGTGTGAACGGCACAGCGATCTGCTGATGTTTAAAATCCTGTAGTGTGAACTAGGCTTTAGATGCACTTGGCAGGCAGCAATAGAAATCCGTGTGTATATACTATCCTGTCACACAATAGAGGCAAACATCCTACACGAAGGTAATAGTTTGATTAGGGTGTTCACATTCAGAGAGCAGCATTTAAAGAGGATCTTTCAGTCCATAATATCATAGTGATGTAAACTGTAACTAACTAAATCATTTTGACTAAGGTCTGTCTTTAAAAACTGAGTACTGCTGACAATGCTAACTAACTTTGCTTCCGAATAAACATAAACAAAGAACACTGACCACACACTCACCAAATCTGTAGACACAGGACAATCAACACCAACTGGAACCGCATCTCTTTTAAAAGAAGACGAGCGGCAAATCCGCATTTCATCATTTCCAGACGTGAAAAGCTCTTGTGTAATAAATATCTCTTACAAACATATTTCTGTCACGTGTCGCATGCACTGTAATTCACACGTGAGTCCAGCTGTGCTCTCATTGCAGGAAATTGAAAACAAAACCGTCCGTGTTCCACATTAAAAACGCAACACTGACGACCCGTATATCTGAACAAATCTTTTTCCTTTTATTTTTAATTGTGATTGGCAACAACGTGGCGTCTCTGCCGTCTGAACACTGTAACCGGTAAACGGGTCTTCAATGTTATTGTGCATATTAATCAAGTTGCACCTCATGCACAATAGAGTCTGCTGATTGGTGGTCTGAAAAGACTTAAGTCTTTCTCATGAATTAACACTGAAAGCTCAAAGACATCATGTTGTATTCGCCGGTACAGACATCTAGTCTACACGCTGGAATACACACAAGGATATAATCGCCATGACGCAGCTTCAACATTTCTTTTCAAACCGTATGTACAAATTTGCTCAGAATAACGCAAAACAACCAATTTTCACTTTTTAGTTAAATATATGTGTCCTAATAGTGTTTTTAGCAGTGTGGGACACATATATGACTGTCAACAGCTCAAAAATTGTGTTTTGGTGTTTTGTGACCCTTTAAGTGTCCATACTAAAGGAAAGACCTTGACAAATTGCTGTTACAATGTGAATGCTTTTGGGTTTTTTATTTTAGGTACGCTATCTCCAAGAGGTTTAAATGAGGAGTTTAAAGGGTCACGAAACACCAAAACACATGTGTTGAGCTGTTGACAGTCGTATTTGTGTCCCACACTGCTGAAAACACTATTAGGTCACGGCCATGAGATGTTAGCGTGTATTCCAGCGTGTAGACTGGACGTCTGTACCGGGGCGTCCGGTATTACGTCTCTGAGTGTGTTGCATTTATTCATGAAGGTGGCTTGGTTCAAACCAGTCAGCGCGCTCCATTATGTATGCACTGCAACTTCATTAATATGCATGCTAGCTTCGAAGACTGTACCTGAAACATTGTTCAGACGGCAGAGAGACGACACACGTCGTGTTGCCAAAAGGAGGGGGAAAAGAATAAGAATTGTTTGGAGATAAGGGTTGTCAGTGTTGTGTTTATAATGTGAAGGTTATGTTTCATTTTCTCTCTATGAGAGCGCTGCTGGACTCACGCATGGATCCGTGTACGCGACGCGCGACAAATGCGTTTGTTTTGAACATTTTTTTACTCGAGAGCATTTCTGATCAATGGTGAGATCCGGATTTGCTGCTCGTCTCCTTTATAAAAAAACGCAGCTCCAGTATGTGTTGATTGTCCTGTCTACAGATTCGGTAAGTGTGGGCAATCACCGCCCTTTCTTTGTTCATTCAGTTGGCAAAGTTATAGTTCGTATGGTCAGCAGTGTGCAAAGACAGACCCTAGTCAAAATGATTTCTAAGTTACTTAGTTTACAGTACGTTAATATCACTACAATATTGAAAGATCCGCTGTCATTTCACCGTCATTAAACACACTGTCTTTCTCCCCTGCTTGTGTGTTTGTTTTTCCTTAGCCGTGCCCAAATGGCAACGCCCATTTTTATTCAAACCCTGCGCATTTTCCCTCCCCCGACACTCCCACCCAAACAGAGCTAGACACACCCACTTTCCTGACTTTTTTCAAACTAGAGGTGTAAAAACATCCTGCTGAAACAGGGGGTGTCATGGCTCTTTAATATTCGTCCATTCCTTAAATGTTTTATTAGTTGTTTGGGTAAAGGTTTTTGGCAGTTTTGTTGTATTACTTTATATTCTGTGATGTTTTTCTTTAATTATTAGGATTTGTTTTTGAATGTGTAATTAACTACAGTATTTTTTTTTGTGAGATAATGTATAAGATCATGTTATCCGGAAGTGTATGAAAACAGCAACATGCTGTGATGAATGTGTCTGATGTCTAAACTCAAAGCGCTTTGTGGTGGCCTTTTTAACTTAATAAATTGGTATTTTTGGAGCATTGTTGTTGCCGCGTTGTTTATATATATTCTTCTTTTTGAATCAAATAAAAAAGCAGTTTTTTTTTAGCATTTCAACACTGATTTACATAAATATAAGTAAACAAATCGTAAGTGTGGCAAATTTAAAACAAGTAATTGGTTTGCACTAATAACACTCTAATTCTTTTCAGGTTTAGCCCCTGTCCTTGTGCCCAAAGAAAACGAGTTTAAATCAGTACAGTACAAACACCCTCAACCTCCAGCTAAATTCCCTCTCATGCCTCTTCCTCAAAACCAGCCTCGACCCAGCATGCCAACCGCTGCTCCACTTCCCCCTCATTCCCCGTAAGGCGCACACACATATCCCAGCAATCATGGTACATAACCATTTACCCCAAAAACACCTCAGTCTTAATGTCTCTTTCACCCCTAAACAGAGAGCTGTTCCCCATCTGGGTCGGAGACTTGGTGAGTTCTATAACCGGGAGCAAGCTTTATGACCTATTCAAATCGTAAGTGACCTGCTTGGTTTTCTAAAAGTGTTCTTCCAACCATTGGTGTGATTTGAACTCATTTTAAGCTATTGAAAACTATTTGTCTCTGTAAAACAGTGTTGGGAATATCCATAATGTAAGAGTGTTGCCTGACAGATACTGCGCATTTGTTAACTACACCAGCAAGGACAGCTGTGAGAAAGCCATACAAATGTTCAATGTGAGTATGTTTGCTTTCAGTTCAACGTTCAAAAGAAACCTTTAGTGCTAAGATGTTTTATGGCCTAATATTGTGTAAATCTTATCTCTTATGGAAATGTGTAAAAGTTTTGCGCTATTTTAAAGTTGCATTTTTTTCAAAATGCCCCCCCCCCCCCACAAGCAGTCTTAAAGGGGAAATGATGCACTCAGTCAAGTTTACATTATGTTGTACACTGGATTTCACTTTAATCAAAATATATTAAACTCGATTACTGTAATCATTTAAAAGAAAAGGGTTTGTTTTAATATAGAATTTATACCTAGGGCGCTGCCATCTTGGAATATCGCTGTGTCTGGCGTCACGGGTTGGTTCTGTTCCCTTAAAAGATAAAGTAGAAGTAAACGACTGAACATGGAGACTGGACAGCCTAATTTGACCCAATGCGTGAAGTTGTGGACGTGGAGCTGATGCGCGTCTTATACATTTTATATATATATATATATATATATATATATATATATATATATATATATATATATATATTTTTTTTTTTTAAATATATTCTTTTTTTTCCATTTTAAGAACCAATCATTTGATTCGCTTTGGTCCACTCACTGTATTAATCTGCCTGACTGCCTATATGAGTTTTTATATCGCAGACACTGTGAAAAGCTTATTTCCAGCCACTATACTTTTCTGACAGGATATTCGAGTGTCATTAAGTGTCAGAATGTTGTAGGACTGCTATACAGGAGGTATTATTATGGATAGCGAAATTTTTGCGGTTTTTATTTGAGCTTTTTTTTTTTTTTTCAGATTATGATAGTAAAACATGAACGCGGTTATGAATATATTAAAACATGTGCTTGTTTATTGTAAAAATGTATAATAATGACAAAAAAATCTAATTTGTGCATTTCCGGGTGCAGATATACTGCCATTGTGGCTGGTGTATTCTGGGAAATTTTCATACCCGTTGGTTTCTTACCACTTCCCCTTAGCCCTACGTCTTCAAGCTAAAGAGAATTGGGAAAAGAGCTAAGGGGTAGAATTGGGATTGGGCCTAAGATGGTAGGAAAACATCACCAACATAAGGATTAATCAATCATTAATCTAAAGCCTCATGAAATCCCACCCATTTGATTTGATTTGCCCAGTTGGAGCTGGCTCTGACCTTCATTTATTCCTAACTCCATGAAATAGTGTCATATTTCACTGTATCCATATGATTTTTTTACAAACTCGCTTGTGACAGATTATTAGATAAGTGATGTTTCCGGCAATCAGAATTTACAGTGTAAGCTTGGCTTTAAGGGACAACATTTACTTTATATTAAGCCATTCAAGTCCTAATAAAATCCATGTCTTGAGGCTTTACTTACAGCGTTAAATCATTTGTCTTTTTAGTGAAGGGATATTAACAGTTTGTGTGTGTTTCTGTGGACTGTAGGGTCATGCCATTGATGGGACAACTCTAGTAGTGCGTTATCCAGATAGAATTCACACTCGTCTCGGAATGTCTAGAGATGCTTCAACTGAGTCCTCAGGAAAGAATGGGTGAGTGAACCTGGTATATACTGCATTGTTACAGACAGTGTGTATTGCACACAAATGACGGCTCACTCTGTTGAGATGCACATCAGAAGTGCAGCCTTTATCCTTTTTGTTTCAATTTAATTTAATGTATTTTATGTATTAGTTATAAGTATAAGATCATGTTTCAATCTTTTTAGTGCTTTTTTTAAAGCATCAGTACTGGTGATAACTAACAAAAATACATAATTTCTTATGATTGTTAATCGTTTATATTACATTGTTTACTTAGTGCGGGTGTTTTATTAATAAAAAAATTTGTGAAATCTTAATTTGTAAAAAAAAAAAAAAAACCTACATGCTTACAAATTTTTTCATATACATTATGGATGCTCATTTTGGTTTATTTTAGCAACTGACAACCACCGCTTGTTAACCAAATATTAACCGTTAACAGATTAATAATAAAATATTATTTATTTTAAAAAATAATTGACGTGTCTATTTTGTGTGATGCATTAAATATTTTAAAATACTTATTTTAATATGCGAACAGCAGCATACATAACATAACAGAGCGTCTTCACCCACCTGCAGTGTTTCCAACAGCATAGTAAAAAAGAATAAAGTAAATAGGCCTGCCCTGGATATTTTGCACTTAAATGAAAAAATAAAGACACTGACTGAATCTTCTTTTTAAGAAAACTGGCATAGGCTGTTTGTCAAATCAGTTAAATAATTAAATAAAAATATTAGGCTACCTTAAATCGATTGCTCCACTGAAAATTTGCATTAAATTAATGCTCTGCTGTTTTTCTTATATCCCAAACCCCCTTTCAACATTTTTAATAGAAGTTGTTTGTTTAAAGATTATGTCATAATAACTTATTTCCCCCGTCTCACTCGTGGTTCTTGTGTGCGCGCTGAGTGTGAACCTTAGGGCTCATATGTTGACTTTTTGTAAAGTATAGGCTAATAGCATATAATAGTTTTGTTGTTTACATATGCTTTAATTTGTATGCATGTTTTATAAGCTGTAAAATAAAAGCCTCAGTTTGGTACAAAGTTATCTTTATGCAAAATTCTAGAAAATCATTGGATTTGTTTGATTCGTAGCTTATGTGGTCTATTTTAAAAACTGATATTATGTAAGTACTATTGATAACTGTAATTTTCCAAATAGAAAAAGGTTGGTTTGTTGGTTGTACACTAAATCATCATTAGCCTTTGTTAAGTTTATGACTTGGCTCCACGAAGCACCGAGGCGATCAGCATTTGTCCACTTATCTGTCAAACTGTGACCAGAAATATTCTTCTTTCATTTAGCTGCTTTGACAAAATACTTCTGTAAACATGCACATGTTACCATCCCGCAAGTTATCAAATATTTGTTGCACATCAGGAGCCGATCACACCGATCACGCTTTTCCATTCCAAAACTCCGAGGCGCACCACACTGCCTATTATGTTGACAAGAAAAAAAAAGTGCGATGACTTTTTTAAAATTATTATTGTCACTAGGAAACGACTTAATCAGCAGGTCTATTGTGCGTAATTGTTGCTGTCAATGTTGTTATAATTGCAACATTTATTTACATTGTGATATTCAACATTTGTAAAGAAATACAGCTCTGGATAACTTGAAACGGCGACCACAAGACTCTCCTCCATCATTAAAAGTTATCCGTCGTCTTGACAACACAAACACTGCTGTCACCTCAACAGAAACCCCGCCTCTGCTTTCATTTGATTGAAGAATGAAAAAGATGCGACTGACGTTATGCGCTTTTCCACTCAGTGTTAAGTTTTATTTTTTACTGTGGTAGCACAGTGCGAAAACATAACGTGAGGCGCGCATAAGCAGTGCACAAAACACTAGCAGTCGCCAAAACCATTCAAAAAATGTCCGTCTCAACGCATCCAGCCAAACTTTAAAAACATATAAAACAATATCTATTAATTATTTAACTGATACCATTATTCGGTTATAAACGCACAGTTAAGGGTTAATCGATTAATCTGAGCATCCCTAATATACATGCATATAATGTAAAAATGCTGGGTTACACACAATCAATTTGTGTTGGGACAACATGAAGAATTAAGTTAACCAGTTAGATTTTACATATGAAAGATTTTCCTAAGAATTTAAGAATATTTTTCTTAAGGGCAAAGAATAAATGACTGGAATCTTTCAAGAAATGCATGGTTCTCACTTAAACAGCATTTAGATTAAAAATTTGAGTACTATGGGGTCTAGTAGAAACATTTTTGTCCTGAAGCTCTTGAATATAACCATTTTTCTTGTGTGAGAGTAATATTTGACCCTCATTTTGTTTTCCTAAATCTATTTCAATAAAAATGTCAGTTAGCTAAACATTCAACTGTTTGCAGCAATGCAGCCACAATTATCACAAAATATAAAGTAAAAAGATGAGGATGCTCAAGGGTTGATGTTTCATGGGGCATTAAATGTGGTCATATTTCAGTTTATTAATAAAATAACAACTTTTATTGTTTTGTTTTTTTCAGCAAACAGCCTAATGAATGTTATTTTTGGAGGATGTATGGCTGTAAGAATGAACGCTGCACCTTCAAGCATATTCCAGAAAACAAGGGCATCGATCGACCTAAAGCCAAACCACACACCTGACTCTCTGCATAATGTCAGAGATTTAAACACCGTCAAATCACTAGAATTAGTTGGATTTAGTAAATGTTTCAAATGCATAAAACTTTGGCGCATGGTGTTTTGGTCATTTAGCTGCATTTCATATCCTTTTTTTTCCTTTTAAAAAAAAAGTCTTAATATCTGCATAGGCGAAGAGAGTTTCAAGTTAGGATGAACAGGTATGATGGCTTAAGTTTAATTCACTTTTATTTTCTTTATAATTCTCCCACAGATTAATACATGTACATTTTTAAGTCAGTTATTGGTTTTAGTTGCTGGCTTTGCGAAATTGTGACATGATGCTTTATATTAAATATAAGCGATCAAAAAGTTGAATGATTGGTCACCGCAGAGGTTTAATTTTATTTTTTTTAAGTTTTCTGAAAAGTATTTCCCTTAATGATGGCATTGTCTGAGGGTTTTAAACCGTAAGTATCATTACACTGGTTTTATTTGACTTCTGACCTGCAGGATTTAACCTGCCTCAGTAAAAGCTGAACTGTTAAAATGTCGGATTCAATTTAAGATCGGTCTCGTGCCACTTCTGCTGTAGGAATGACCTGCAGTACACAGTATCATACCGTATTAGTTAGGCTGGAAAATGAAAGCTTTCAGTTGTAATTGATTTTCATTGTTATGCCTGTAAAGCACTACAAAATTGTTCTCTGTGCTACAATAAAAGGTGACCTGTGACATCTGCTATTTAGTAGCTTGGATTATTTTGTTTTGTTCTGCTGATAGCACACTACAAACTTCACATTTATATTATGACATTTATGATTTAAATATTGAAAAACTGTTACAGTAAACGTGATTGGAGGGTACTTTATAAACAAATTACTTAACTGTTGTGTATCTAAAAATAAAGAAATTGACCAAAGAATACCACAGATACTGTGAGGCTGGAAACACAGACAATCAGCTCCACACTGACCAGGTGGTAATGCGGGAAAGTTAACTCCTCCCCTTTCCTTCAATTACATTAGAGCATCTCCCGCAACCTCACCCTCCTGTTCATTCAACTCGCACAGAATGGTCATTTCAAAGTTTGAATGTTCAATATCAATCCAAGTGACTTTATCCATCAAGTTTGTTTGATATCATTTGAAATGTCTCAGTGCGACTGAGACAATGGTCTCATTCCCTCAATAATGGACATAATCAAAATAATAGATGTATAATGTCGGGTATCTCTTGACCCACTGCTAAGGGTGTGCCTTTACCTAGGGGTCTTCACTTGTAATTACCCTTACTTTCCTATAGGCAGAAACTTTTCAGATCTAACATGCCACTAAATGCTCCTTAAAGGAGATCCTTGCTTTGACTACTTGAGGGAAAGTTTTAAGATGTTTGGGGCGGTTCTGTAACCAGATCAGCCTGTAGTGTGGAGCTCTCATGCTCTATACTATGTATATTTTGAAATCAGGTGTGCAACCTTTGATCTTCGATCTATCTTTGAGAATTCGATGTCTTGTATTGATTGTTTATGAATTGACTGCATAATTGGCATCATATTTACCTGACTATTATATTATGTTTGAACGTATTCTGCTTAGTCTGTCATTATTCATTTTACTAGATTATGCTGTATTCTTATTTTCCGCACTTCTTTGTATTTTAGGGATCCGACTGACTCTTGATATGGATTCGAGTGTACTTAAGTGGAAACGGAGTTATTTCCATCTAGTGCAACAGTTGCACGACTAACCTAGATAGGGTGCCTGACCCTTGTTTGAAAGTAATGTTATTCTAAATTAAGTGTCCATGGGAAACCATGAGCTTGGCTAAACCAAAGTCATAATAGAGAACTGTAGTCCATTACATAATGACCTTGACCTCTGATTAGAAATGATATCGTCTTAACTCAAGGAAGTACATTTAAAGGGGACTAATCAAAAATACTTTTTTTTTTTTGCTGCAAGCATTGGAGCAGCCATCTAAGAGTATTAGTGAATTACCTCTGTTCAATAATTGTGAGGGACACCATCGGCAAAAGTAAAGGCAAAAGGTTTAAACGTGTATCTGAATTAATTAATTCATTTTCTTTTCGGCTTGGTCCCTTTATTAATCCGGGGTCGCCACATCGAAATGAACCGCCATCTTATCCAGCATGTTTTACGCAGCGGATGCCCTTTCAGCTGCAACCCATCTCTGGAAAACTTCCATACACACTCATTCACACTCGTACACTACGGACAATTTAGCCCACCCAATTCACCTGTACCACATGTCTTTAAACTGTGGGGGAACCCGGAGCACCTGGAGGAAACCTATGCGAGCGCAGGGAGAACATGCAAACTCCACACAGAAACACCAACTGACCCAGCCGAGGCTCAAACCAGCGACCTTCTGACTTGGAGGCTACAGCACTACCTACTGTGCCACCATGTCACCCCTTATCTAAATTATATATTGATATAATCTTAATGTTTTATGATTAATGTAAGATAAAACGATAGATAAATATATTAATATTCTAAACCACTTCATATTCATATTGGAGTCAGATTTGAGTTGAAATTAAACTGAAACAACAGTGTGCACTGGACACCTTCATTGAGCCAACTGGGTGGACCTTACAATAGTGCGAACACGCGTCCATGTGTGAGGGTCATGTCTCTGGATTTGTGAATCCTTACGTAATGTTAATTTTTAAAAAAGACTAGTTTAACTGTGACACTTGTTTATTTCAATGCCAGAGGTATAACATAAATTGAAATGATTAGGAAAGGTGTGAAGTCCAAGTTACAAGGCTAACAAAATTAGAATTGGGCATCAGGACCTGTAGTGCAATAAGCTACTTCACTAATAAAATAGCTTTGCTACTGAAAAGCTGTTTGATTTATAAAGTATCTACGCTACTGAGAAATGAAGTTAAGCTAGTTGCCCAACATTGTTAATGTAATAAAATTGCTTTGACCAAAGGAGCCTATTGGTCCCCTGAATTTCACAAATTGATAACTTTGTGAGTCATAATACAGTATGTAGTTCGAAATGAAAGGTGTTTTTATATATATATATATATATATATATATATATATATATATATATATATATATATATATATATATATATATATATATATATATCTGCACGCTCATAACTTTACTTTTACCTTTTGCAGATGCTTCCTTGGGTTCGACATTGAAGCCTTTGATGTCAAAAGTATTTTAACAGCTGGTAAACAAATGCACTGAACTGTTATATTTGTGCCCTACTCGGATATTAGGGTGAAATTGTTTTTAAATTTTCAGCAATGAAATGCTTTTTTAATCACTCGCCATGGTGGCAGCTTCAGCAGCAAAGATTATCATAATTGGTAGACGTAGTGCGGAAAACCAATCAAAAGCATCAGAATAGCAGCGCTTTAATAAATGGCCTTAGCAGAAGGCATCGCGCATATAAAAAACAGGTAAATCAATATTATTCAACAGATCCCAGATTTTTAGAGTTTTTTTTGATGGATCCCCATTTGTAATCTTCAATATTTTCATAAGTAACTAATTTGATTACACTTTTTTTTTTCTCAGTAACTGTCACAAATTACTCTTACATTTATTTTGTCATTAAATTATGTAATGCCAGTTGGCGCCAATAGCCTAGTGCAGTGGTTTCCCAAACTGTGGTACGTGTACCACCAGTGGTACGTGGGCTTCCTTCTAGTGGTACGCGGAGGAATGAAACATGTCATGTACATGCTACAAATATTTTTAAAATGTATCAAAATTATGTATATAATGTGCCATATATGACATATAGCCTTTGTTCCTGAGGTAATCTGCCATGTTTTTATTTACTTTGCAGAGTTGTAGCTACTTTACTGGGCCTACAACGCTACTGTATTTGAGTACTGCTCATTTTGGTGGTACTTTTAGAGAAAAAAAAATTTCTGAGGTGGTACTTGATGAAAAAATTTTGAGAACCACTGGCCTAGTGGTTAGTGCATCGACCCGAGTTCAATTCCCAAGTCGAGGTCCTTTGCCGATCCTTCCCCTATCTCTGCTCCCCCCACTTTCCTGTTTGTATATCCTTACTGTCCTATCAATAAAGCTTAAAACCCCTAAAAAATAGCTATATAAAAAAAAAAAGCAATAAACAAAAATTACGTAACGCCGTTGCATGCAGCTAGTTACTCCCCAACACTGCCATTTACACACTCAGGTGATTCTAAACTTTCATACATTTCTTCTGTTATAAACAAAACAAGTGATTATGAAGAATGCTGGGAAAAAACTACTATGGAACAATATTTCTTTGAATTCAACAGAAAGAAATTCAGGCTAGTTTTGACAAGTGGAAAATGGCGAATGGCGACTTGTTTTCCACGAATTTTCATTTTTGGGTAAACCATCCTTTAAAATGATTGCAGAAGAAAATAACCTTTTCTTTGTTGTTGTTCTTTACAAAAATTGGGACATCTTTGCAAATCTCTACCACTTATTAACTGACAGAGTTACTTTCAGTCAGGGAACAATGAGAGGTAATCGATCTCTGCTCTGTCGGGGATTTCCTGAGATAAATCTGGTGCTAAACCAAACAATAAAAGTCAGTTGCTCTTGTTTCTGTGTGAGAGTTATAGCGTGCATCAAGCAGTCAAAGGTCATGTTGCACAACTCAAATAAAATGAAAGTGGAAAGAACTTGAATTCAACCTTGTGTTTTAGTCATATCAGGATGTAGTCCGTTCCATCAAGACCTGAGGTTTGATTTTTACTCTTGGCAGCTTTTATAATTGTGCACTTTCAACATGTATGTGTTCAACGTCTTGATAGCAGCAGCAGCTCTTCTTGCATCTGAAGGTAAGGATTACATATTTGCTCAGTTCTGACTTGAGTATGTTGCTTTGGAATTAACCCTTATCCCATGTTTCTTTTTTTAAAGGGATTTTGGTTCGAGGACCTGCTCAGCCTCTGGTCGCACAGCTTGGAAGCTCCATGATTTTGCCTTGTTTTGTTGAAACACCTTTACCTTTGGATGTGCTGG